GGATCACTTCATGGATTTTATCACGAGTGATTGGTGAGACGATAATATCTTATATTCTTGAAACCGAGATGTGTGAGTTGTATCTTGTGAGTCGGTCACACATTGATAATATGTAAACGCACCAGTAACTTGGTGTCATAAAACATATTGTTGTGTGTGATTCGGTGAGTGAGTGCAAGCAAGCATTGAATCAAAGTTTATTCGTTCCTTTTATCCAAAGTGGGATGAAAGCGATATTTGTGGGCCCCTCGATGATTTAGTGATGACACCTAAGCGCTTGGCCAAGCCGGGACTAATTTGATGTGTTCAATTGTAGTCTGTTGTCAGTCGTCATAAATCGGAAATCGGGAAACAACACATAGACAGAGAGAATGATTTAAATCCATGTCTCAGTCTATACGATATCTAGAATGGAGGAATATATGATCCCTTATCTAAAGGGCGCGTATCTGATAAGATCAGAGTTGACAGCGGTTTTTGAAAGCTACGATTGTAGATCAGGATCTGAAGTCATACGCATAATAGTTATTAGACTTATCCAAGTGGGAGACTGTTGGATTAGTGTCTAAGCTCATAACTATTTTGGTATGTACTTGCCCCGATGGTGCATGGTCCTTTTGGGTTGCCTTCACCAAAGCAACTTGATAGGATGAATTATGGAGAGAAAGGAGTAATTATGATTTATTAATATATTATGAGAATAATATATTAAAGGGGAAATCATATTGTTTAATTAATATTAGTCAAGAATTAATAAGAATTAATTTTGTGGCTAAAAGACATTAATTAAATAAAAGGGACTAGAACTGTCAATTGTGTGATAGTTGAATATTGAGCTAATGGACTCCATAGAGGATGGAGTGGACGAATTCTATGGGAAACCCATTAGAAATCGTCCAAGGCCTCTAAGGAGGGAGTCCATGGGTTGCTTAGGGCCTAAGCAGTCAAATTAGGGTTTCCTTGTTAGATAACCCTAATAGCCTCACTATTTAAGGATCCCTAGAGCACCAAAAACGTGGTAAAGAGTTTCCTTAGGGTTTCTACACGTTTTTGGGTGCCTCCTCTCTTATCATTCTTCATCCTCTTGCACTTGGTGTTTGTGAGCCATTAGAGGAGTGACACTTGTGACTCTAAGCTTTCTAAAGCCATTACTAAGGAGGATTTGAGATTGTTATTGCTACATAACAATCAAGGTAAGATCTAAACCCCAATCTTATGTTAATATGATTAATTGTATGCTAGATCTAGGGTTTATAGCTTTGGATATTCAATTGCATGTTCATTAGACAAACTAGATCCAAAAGCTATTAGGGTTTTCATGTACACCATAGGAATGATGTTTTGCTCATAACCCATCATTATGAACATTGTTTTGGCATGCAGAATTAAAGAACACACAATGAACACGGTGATTTGGGTGTTTAAGAGATGTATTCGAATATGTATGTGTTACAAAAACGGATCTAGATCTAAATCTACATAAATAACACACACTTACAGACTCAACTTTTACACCTCTCAAGCACACCTCCATAAGTGGTATGAACCCACCTTATATAGAGGTGTTTACATGTCTCTCTCTCACTCTCTGTCTCATGAGTCAAAAGGCTAATGCACCACATGCAAGTGGGTCTACAAAAGTCAACCCATTTACAAAGTCATACATGGATAACGTTGCACCCAACACCACCGCCTTCGGACCGCAAGCGAGGTTCACGGCCGTGAACCCCTCGGACCATGAACCCTCGCATATATATTCAAGGCAGCCGACTTTTCTTTCACTGTTTACACTTCCAAACACATTTCTAAGCCTTTTTCTCTCAAGTATCATCAGTCAAGAACACCAAGAACATCATTTCTCCTCAAGAACACACCAATATCATCCTTTTTCATCTTATTCAAGTGTTAATCACTAGTTCTTCACAAGATATAGCAGGTATCCATTCTAGATCTTGTTATCATTCCAATAACACTCTTCAATCTTCTTATACTAGACAAAAATCATTTGATTTCACTAGTTTTCACAAAGAACACGCGAAGAACACGAAGAACACCCATTAGAAAACCTTTGAATCTTCTTAGCAACTTGCTTAGGATCATCAAGTGTTCATCATTCATCAAGAACCCAGGATCGTGAACCCTTCATGATCATGGGCCATGAACACCCCCTCCTAGCCGTGAACACTTATCAGATTCCAAATTAGCTTTTAACACTCCAATTTGTAAGTTATACTTACAAATTAATTCGGCTTCCAATCATTCTTATGAATATATTAGCTAATTGGATACATATATGTTATATAAATTACTATATAGGACTTGTTTTGCTACGGGATTTCACTTGTGGAGGTAAACATCCTCTAACAAATCATCAATCGAATCACCCTTTAGAAGGTGAGTTCATACCCCCCGTATTTTCATAGTTTTTATTGTTTTAAGAGAGGGGGGGGGGGGGGAATACAAGTCTAACACAAGGATTTTGTGTTATTAAACAAATGGTTTCAAAATGGCTTACAAAATGGATTTCAGTTATTTTCTAAATAAACTTATATATATATATATATATATATATATATATATATATATATATATATATAAGATTGAAAAGTTCGCTTAGGACTGATAACTCGATTTATCTCTTTTTCCTTGTTTGGATGTGGATTTAGGGTATCGGTTATTTGTCCTAATGTCGTTTAAATTTTAGTTATATATATTTGTATATGTATATAAATATAAAGGTTATTTCATTTCGTTTCAATACCCTTTGTAACATGTCGAGCAAGGGGTTGCATTCATGAACAATTAGTATCTATACAGAAAGTACATATAAATTATAATAGGTATAATTTATGATTCAAGAACACTAACTTACGATACAAGTATACTAGAGTACACTGTTTTACAAGAACATGGGTTGCAGTGTTTTACAAAAACATGAGTCATATTCAAAACTAAACAAGGATATACAGTTTACAAATACATTGCAAGTACGTCAAACAAGAAACATACTATCAATCATTTATTTCAGAATGATTGGGTTTTCATTACTATTATACACGTAACGTCTATATGATTTTTATGAGTCAACAGATTCAGGTTGTTTATTCATTTAAACAACATAGTTAAAGTCATGATATTATAACCAGAATCTCCATTCGGGGATCGAAACAAGTGTGTATAGATCTATATTGAGATTGACAACCCCGCACTCGGGCTACTAGCTATAGTCAGGCATACACGCCTATGAGTGACAATTGTTATCAACAGTGTAAACGCCTTCAAAGCGTTTGTTTCAGGTCATCTAGTCATAGTATGGTTATAATAACTCATTAAAAAGATATTAACAATATGGTTAGTGTATAATTAGCTAAAACATGAGTACATTTTCAAAGTATCAGTTTTACAATCATACGTTTTACAGAAGTACATTACAGTTTACAATAACAGTTGGTGGAGCCAGGCACACTTACATTTACAGGTTTTACAAAGGAATACAAACACAGAATATTGGTTTACAAACAGAACGGTTTTATAGGATTAAAACTACTTTTCATATACAACAGAAAATATAGGATTTTCTGGGAACAGTTTGCATATTCAAAGAACAGAAAATATGCTTTCAAAACATAAATACTTATGCACTCACTCAACTTTATGTTGATACTCTATTTTCAAATTACTCGTATTCTCAGGGAATCAGTAACAGGTACTCCCCGAGCTTTTGAGAAGATGATGCTGTTTTGAGTTAAGACTTCTATGTTTTACTATAACTCTTTTTGTGTCAATATACTTTGATTGAACACATGTATGAACTTATACTTTTTAGTATAATGGTTGTTTGTACTTTGATTATTATAATGCATGTGTTGTGATACTACAAATGAAGTCATCCACCCCCAGACGTTTCCGTCGTTTGGTTTGGGGGTGTGACAGTTTTGTTTAAACTAAACGTTAAAAGCTTGTAGTGCCAAACGAGGCTTTATGTTCATAACGAAGCATTTTGTCAAACACTAAAAGGTAGAAGCTCCTAAACGCTTTGTACCAAAAATGCCTAAAATAAACTATTCCTCGTCATGATCAACAAATCTTTCCAGCATCATTGGTAAATATGTTATCAATATAAAAGAATCGAAGTATGTTAAAATTATCAATAATTAAAGTTTATGAACACATACAACCTTTATAACAATCAAACCAACAAAAATAAAATTTAACCACAAAACAAGAATGAATGAAATTTGATACATCCTAATCCATTATGAGTTTATAATAACAATTCGGTTTTCTTGAAAAAAAACATAAACAACCCAAAAATGATGAGAATTCATGAAATAACCAAAAGTTAGGGTGTTTTAAGGAATTAACCATAGAATTTTGAGTTTCGAAAATGACCACGAGATCCGCAGAGGGGGCTCTGCGGATTCCTATAATCCTCTGAGGAACGATGCTCAGTACAGAGGAAATGACGTGACACCACTAAATGACAAAAAAAAATTGTGATTATAATGGTTGAGGTGACTCTGCCGATCCTGTGAACAACTCTGTGGATCGCTATAATCCTCTAAGGAACCACCAAAAACGGGGTAAAATCGAAAAAATTGCAGTCAACTACCAATTCCTCAGAGATATTATATATCCGCAGAGCCATCTCTGTGGGACCATTATAGCCAAGAATTTTTTTATCATTTAGTGGTGTCACGTCATTTCCTCAATACTGTGCATCGTTCCTCAGAGAATTAAATGGATTCATAGAGCCCTCTACAGATCTCGTGGTCATTTTTCAAAACTCTATTAATTCCTTAAAACAATCCCAAAATTTTTATTATTTCATGAATTTTCTCGAAAATGAATTTTCCTTAAAACTATTACCTTTCAATCCAAACTCCAAAGCACTCTATGACCCTATGGTCTAAATGAGGAATTGGACTCTCCTTGTAAAGATTTTGTTGTCGGATTATTTAAATTCAACTTAACATCAAGTATTTGTATTTGTATTGCAGCTTGAGGCCCATCATTAACATTATTCTTTTTTCTAGACTCCTTTTGTTTCCAGTCCATTATCACTTCCTTGGACCGATTCCAAGATGACGGAATCATTGGGATCCAAACCCTAATGCCTCTACTTACTATGCCGCTCCCGCCGCTCCCTTTCTTTTGTTCTCTCTCTGCAACAATGAAGTTTTGGGGTAAGAATCATATCTACAAGCTCTGTTAATTTGTCTTTGACGATGATACTGGTGACGGAAATCTTCACTTTCATTTACCTTAATGATATTCATCGTTTTCTTGTGGTTTGGGTCACAAGCTTTGTTTATTTATGTTTTATATCGATATTAGATGTTTCATGTATATGTTATTTCAATTGTATTATATTTGCTGGTTTATCGTCGTGGAATGCACCTTTATGTATCTCTTTTTGCTTGGCGAGGTTGTTTCAACCTGGTTGTTTGATTTTGTAAGAATATCTACAAGCTCTGTTAATTTGTCTTTTGACGATGATACTGGTGACGGAAATCTTCACTTTCTTTTACCATAACGATATTCATCGTTTACTTGTGGTTTGGGTCACAAGCTTTGTTTATTTATGTTTTATATCGATATTAGATGTTTCGTGTATATGTTATTTCAATTGTATTATATTTGCTGGTTTATCGTTGTGGAATGAACATTATTGTATCTATTTTTGCTTGGCGAGGTTGTTTCAACCTGGTTGTTTGATTTTGACTAAATTTCTGTTCTTTATTAGATATTTAAGTGTTTCTAAATTTAAATGTGTTATATTCATCTATCTTTCCCTGTTGGTAAGGAAGACTGTTAGCAACTAATAACCAGCCTAGAAGTTTGTTTTTAGGTAGCCTATGTGCGACTACATGTATATGAATTGAATGTGTTTTATGCTTGTGTAGTTATGTATGTGCATGTTACTTAATTAGCATGCCTTGTTTGAAACTGGGCAATAAGTTGGATCTATAAGATTGCGTTCAGCAGTGGTCTTCGCAGCTATGCTCTTGTTATGTTTCAAATATGATGATTGGTGTTGAACTGGTGTTTAAGGTTCACATTTACAACACCTTGATATCTTCAGGCTAAAAACTTAATGTGAAAATTACATGGATGGTTGTGTTCATATCAATTGTTTTTAACACTACTTTTCTCTTTTGTTTCACGATATGTGTACCCTTTTCTAAGTTGTGTACTTTTATTGTTTTCGTATTGTTTTGATTTAGGTTTGGAGGTTAAAAACGGTGAATCACATGATGTGATCCTTGGGAAAGGCAATATTTTGAAACTTTCACTGGTATAATTTTTGGATCAGTGGGATATACTTAATTTTCTGCTCTAACAATACAACTGACTAAAAGTCTTTGTACTCAGGCTTCCCTTGGAGAAATTAAGGAGGAGATAGAGGAATCCGTTTCTTTGAACATCATCGCTGATCGGAAAAAGATTGTAGTAGGAACCCTTCACTCTAAGAGGCAGCCACAACAATCATTTCAGTACTTGTTTAGCGAAGACTTTCGGATCTCTCACGACCGGAAACATGGCAGTGTTTACTTCTATGGAATCAAATTAGAAAGTTAGACCCTCCCAACTACGCATATGATAGTTTGGCTATATTTTTTCTTTCAGTCTCCATCTTTCTGAACTGTCTTCGATTAGTGTTTGTTAGGTGTTAGTTTCTTTTTGATTTGGACTTACTATTAGCAACAGTTTGGTAGTCTTAAAAAATGTTATTATTATATTGAATCTATATTTTGAAATAGTGAGATTTCTTTATATATATATATATATATATATATATATATATATATATATATAGACACACATACACACACACTAGTAGCGTACTTGTGCGATGCGACAGCGCAAGATTGTTCCTTACGGCTGATAGTTTCAATGTGAGGAATAGTTTCTTTTTCGTTTCAGCCTTTTGGCGGGTTGTGTGTCAGATAATCATTCCTGGCGATTGGTTTCCTTTCGACGGGCATCAAATAGATTATGATCGGTGAATAGTTTCTTTTCGGTGAATAGTTTTCTTTTCGTGTTAGATAGTTTGTTTGAGCCTTTTGACGGATTCTTTAGTGTTGTATATTTCTTTTGGTATATGGTTTCTGGCTATGTACGTAGATGCGACGACAACAAATAGTTTCTTTCAGCGGTTAGTGTTCTATCGCTAAGCGGTTTCGGGATAAAAACTAAAGTACGTTGGTATTATGGACTCTTTTAGCTTCATAATTTTTAAGGTTGTAACAATAATTTTAATTTATTTGCCTCTTAATTTTTAAAGTAACTATAAATTTGTAAGATTCATTTTGATTTAGCGGCCTCTTAATTTTTCTATAAATTTATAGACTCTAGTCATCAACTTTCTTTGTAATTTTAATAGGATTTCTTTTATTTACATGGTTTTCTATTTTAATAACTTTTACAAATATATTTTTTTTGAAAAAAAATATATTATACAAATATTAATTTTGTTTAGTTGATAATTATGACACAAAAACTAATAATTGTTTTTAAAAAGATGTAATATTATACATAATATTATTTTTTGTTTAGGTGAAGAGAGCAAGCTCTTTTTTTTTATAAATATAAATTTTATATAACATAATGAAAATCCATTACATGTCTTGTCATATTGTAGAGGCTTCGTGCGTTCATTCAAGTAAAATTTAATACATGCATGCTGCACATAGGAGCTTCAGATTTGAGAGACCAAAATCCATATAGAGGTTCAATCCAACAAAACGTAAGTTATTTTTATAAAGTACATTGTGTATTGCTTATTCTAGTAAACGTTTCTTAGATTTCAGTCAACATCTTTTAGTTGTCATTAGAAACTGAATTATGAAAATTATGAAATAATGGTCACTAATGATGATTTAATAAACTCCATTGTCTAGATGGCTTTTTTTGAACGACTGGATATTATTATAACTATAGAAAACAACCAGCAGGAAGCTGGACCAGTTACAATAAATAGACATACAAAAGATAAAAAACAGCCTAGTTCATAATATCACCAAAACACAAGGTGTTAATATAAATATCACTTAAAGATGAAAAGTTGTGGCCAATTGAGGGGATTCCCAAGAGGTAGCAGCAACAAGCCCTTATTCCAAGGATGAGCAACCAAGCCATCGGATAAAAAAAAAATTTAGTGATCTGCCTCACCAAACTCAACAGCAGCAGCATGTACTTTTAGACAGCAACCAAGGGTTACACGGTTTGGACCAAAATACCCCTGACATATTTTCTTTAGTGATCTGCCTCACCAAACTCAGCAGCAGCAGCATGTACTTTTAGACAGCAACCAAGGGTTACACGGTTTGGACCAAAATACCCCTGACATATTTTCTTGAGTATTCCTGCCATTTGAATTTCTTTTGTTTGCATACCACGTGACTAATTTGTTTCCAACCAACTAACCCATGATGGGTTGAAGCCTAGGTTATGGACTCCAAAGGCAAAATGGTCAAGAGTTGACAACACCAGAGCTTGTAGACATTAAATGGGATCAAGATCAGCAAACTATGCCTTAAAACCATGAGCTTTTACACGCCAGCAACATCATACCGTGGCATTTCACTACGAGCAGATTATTACATAATAGATTCACAACAGATTCCTTGTAAATATCTATGAAACTTATAATCGGATTGATTGTCAACTTTGTAGATCCTGCACAAAGAGGAAAAAACACACGCCAAGAAGTACCCCCTCGCCCAAAATAACACCATACAGAGAAAGAAATAAAAGAAGACACGAAAGAATTAATAAAACAATTTTGTTTTCTTTTATTTTTTGATTATCAATAAAAAGTAAATTAAAGTTGTTCTATGTCCCATATTCAACATAGGATGTGATAAAAAGTAAATCAAAATACCTCAATGATGTACGCATTATGTGTTCATCACTTCATCCTCCTGAAGAGCACTTACAACAAGATAAGCATCTTCAAGGGCTTTTACCAGCAAAAAGGCAAATATCACCTACAGGTCAAGATAGATATTATTTTTTCTTTTGATCTAAAACCATTTACAAAAACTACACACGTCACAACAGAGAAAAAAGAGAATTACACAAGTCAATATACAGATTATTACATGCTTTTCCATGTAAGTGGCTTGTTTATCTGATTTTTTATTCCTTGGTTTTGATTTGGTTATTCCTTCAACTACCACCACAGTAAAAAAATGCCCAATAGCTTCCTGTAATAGAAACAGAAGAACTCTTTAGACCTAGGTTATTTTTACTCTTTATTAAAGTGTAATGTTTAAAGATTTACCGCATTATCCTTGATCTTGGATAGGGGTGTCCACAACTTTCTGTCTCCAATCAACTAAACCTCATCATTCTTTATATATATCCAAGCTTTTCAAGTTTTCCCCTGTTTTTATCTGAAGCATTGAAGGATTAAGGGATAAATATAAAAAATAGCAACGTACACCCCTTTAGTGATCATGTTAATGAATTTCTATATATGTAACAAAAAATAGTGTTATAAAATGGCACATTTTGTTTTGAAGTCCAACCTTGAATGGATGCATCTGATTTCCATAATTGGATACTGCACAACCACGAAATCAAATAAAAGCATCAAGATTTATTGACAAAGGCTTACTAGTAACTCATATGTTTTAGCATAATTAGGTCATCAGTAACTTATCTTCAACTACATCATCATTAATTTGAAACACAAACAAAAACATCAAGATTGGTTTACAAAATAAATAAACAAAACAATATTGGTTTTACCTAAACGCAAACTATTATTAAAATCAATGTATCTTTCAAGTTAAAAGACACAACCTTTCGTGGTGGTTTGTGCATGAAGGTAGGTTGGATCTACCCGTTCCATACTCACGACTCATGAATCTTCGGATTGAAAACAAACATCTGTCATATTCAACATAAATTCAATATTTATAAATCAAAATAGATTATGAGAGTAGGTGAGTCAATATCATAAGTTGCAACCTCATATACAAGGGGTTGCATAAAATCTTACATGGATATAATCGTATACTGTAAGGTAGGATGTTATTATATAGCAATTTTCGGATTTGGTTTTTTAAAGAGTGACATACAAACCAATCATTTTTGTTCTTTCAAACAAATACAAGTACCATTTAAAGTATGATGATATTTCTTACTTTGTATTTACAAAGGAAGAAATAGGATCATATAGACTAAAATGAAAGTACAATGCCATTTCTATGGGTAAAAAAGTTTCATAAATACATGATTTACTTATAAGTTTGAATTTTATAATGATCTCATGTAAAAAACAACTTTAGCAAATATGTGAAGAGTTTAAAAAAAGGCCAACTACCTTCAATAAGTATTTCTATAACATTCAATCACACCCTTTCATCAGATCTAAAAAAATAAACATAAACTTTGAAGTTAATAATGAAGGAAAATATATATCTAATTTAATTGAAGTTAAATAAACACTAATAATTAATACCTAAATAACATAAAACTTTGTTGGTGCAAATATGATATCATGCCTTCTTGATCTGCCTGCAATTCAAATACACAATAGAAGAATAAATCACAAAATCAGAATATTTATGTGTAAAATCGAACTAATAAGGGGAACATAGAAGCAAAAATGCAATAAAAATAACAACATAGGATATAATGGTTCGTTAAAAAAAACACAATAAACAGAAATATAACCTGTAAATATTCTAAAACACGAAGTAAAATCGGAGGTTTGTTCATCATCCATGGGATGGTACGGTCCATATTTTTGAACCTAAAAAAATGTGGTTCTTCAACATTCTTGAGAAGAAAAACCTTAAATCAAACCAACTAAAAAAACGAACATTTGTCTTGTTTGTTCGGCACACTCTTGTCTTGTTTGTTCCACAACCTTTTCAGTACCTTCATCCTGCCATTTATCCAAAATATCACTGAATTAAAGGAAATCATAACAATTTAAAAAAAAAAATTACTTGTACCTTTGGCAGTGTCTTTGATGGATCATTCATGTGCTTAAGTACAAGAGACAGATAATCGAGACACGGGGTCGACCTACACCAGTTGACCAAAATCATCATCCATAAAACTGTTTACACTTCAGTAAAAACTAAAACTCAATTAACGTATTAAGAAACTATACATTACCTGCCCAAATTGAATTGTAGATAAGCTAAAAGATGAACATGAGCATCTTCAAGAAGCCTATGATTCTTTCCCATGGTAGAGTTCTTTCCAAGCCACCCCCAAATCTGTTAAAGTTTCGTTCACCCTAGAAGTTGACAGCACCTTCAACTTTTGCTACAAGAACCTTCAGTCTAATACTTCAGAAACAGATACACACAAAGTCATAAAACAATAGCTGAAGACCTTTGTGGTCGTGAAGATAGAGATAGAGAAAGAGCTATGCGTTCGCGAATAGAGAGAGAGAGATAGAGAGAGAAGCATTAAATATTGATTACTATTGAAATCGTACCATTAAATGGCAATTGATTAAGGCCTTTCTTAGAGAGAAAATCGGTGGTGGTTGTGATAGCTGTTCAGTGGCAGTGCAGACGGTGGTGGTGGATGCTCGGAAATTCCATAGTTAGGGTTTCTTTGATAGAGTAATAGAGAGAGACAGAGAGAAGAAAGAGGTGTTGGTAGAGAGGAGAATGAAGTACAAGACTACCGGTTCTTAGTGGGATTCATTGCTTGAGATACCGGAAAATTGGGGGCGGAAGTGATGTGACAAACTAAGAGGCGAAAAAAAGATCGTAAGTTCTTCCAATTTGAATGCGTCTCCCACTGAATCTTGGATTGACCGATTAAATTAGGTGAAGATGAAGAGCAGGATCGATATATGCCACATTTAAGGATATTTGTTGTGCGTATTTGTATAAAAAACGTTTCAAATTTTGAATGAACCGTGAATTAAGGGAAAGAGATGGGATTTATAAAGATTAAAGAGCGTGGGATAAAATTTAATATTATTTTATTATTGATTAGTTATACTATTAGCTTAATGGTTTGGACGTCTTAAAAAAATATTATTATTTTATTCAATCTATTTTTAGAAATAGTAAGATTTCATATATATATATATATATATATATATATAATATATATATATATATATAATATATATATATATATATATATATATATAGAGAGCATGATCATTTGATAACTCATAGTTTCCCGAGAACCTGATAACTAAATATATATATATATATATATATATATATATATATAGAGAGAGAGAGAGAGAGAGAGCAATGATCATTTGATAACTCATAGTTTCCCGAGAACCTGATAACTAAAAGTGGAACTTTGGATCAAAAAATGGATGGCCAAGATGCATAATGGCATTTTTGTGAATAAGTGGAAAAATAAAGGGACGGGGGCATAGAAATTAAATGGGATTAGGGGCATTTTAGGGTTATAGAAATTAATACCTTACACACATGTCTGATTACCATTCCTCATCATATATCTCTCTCTCTCTCTCTCTCTCTCTCTCTCTCTCTTCTCCCTCCCACGTCTCCTATATCTCCACCGTATCTCTTCCCTTCCATTGATCGTCACCGCCCTCCCTCAATCAAACACCTCTACCTCCGACTTCGTCGTCATCCTCACCGCCCTTTTGTGTTCCCTAATTTGTGTCCTCGGTCTCGTCGCAGTCGCTCGCTCCACCTGGATCCGTCGGATCTCCGACATAGTCTCCTGCACCAAAGAAACAATGGTGGAGAAATTCCCCGACTGCACTATCTACTTGACGAAATTCGTCTCTGGTGATGAGCTCAGATCATTGCCAAGGTTCGGATATGGTTTCCATGTCATGTGCTTTGACACTTGGTTCAGATCTCACTCCCCCTGTTCGTCTTGTCGCCATATCTTATTAGCATCGCTGAGATGTAAGAATTAAGGTGAAGTTCCTGTGGATGAATCCACTGCAGCTCAAACAAATTCTTCAATCAATAGGTTTTTTCCTTAATTTGAAAAGTACCATTTGATTCATTTCAATTTGTAGTTAGGTTTAGAACTATACAGTAATTAATCAGGTGAAAAATTACTGTTTTATTTAGTTCATCGAAAGTGAGGTCTGTTATTTAGTTCATCGAAAGTGAGATCTTACTATTTCATCAATGATTATGTTGAATTTTGTTGTTTTTTTGTGTTAATTCATTTGATTATCAATTAGAGATAAGTTTGAAATTGTGTTGAACTAGTTGAACTTTCCAGAACCGTTAATTGAGTTTATTTTGGGGGGAATTAGTTAGTGTTTTTGTAATTAAGCTTGTAATTAACTTGTTATTGGAATTTGTGTAACATCCCAAAATTCAAGACCAAAAAATTTCATTTTTAATTAATTAAAACCACTTAGTAACTTGCTTAAAACATTGAAAAGCATTCTAGATAAAATAATTATCAGAGTTCTAATCCCAAAGATCATATAATGTGGAAAACATAGTGTGATGCGCTGCGATCACCCCGAGCTCCTTCCTTTGAAAACATAAGTACCTGGAACAAAAGTTGAAAGCTGTAAGCACGAAGCTTGGTGAGTTCCCCAGATACCACATACCATACATATTAACTGATCCATACATGCCATACATGACCATGAGTCATACATATATCATAACCAAATAAGGTGTTTATGTGCCACACATAGTCTTACCATTATGCCACGGGCCGCCACGTGGTCTTTCTTGCCAAGTCGGGGGGCCATCCCCTGGGTTTTACAGAAAAGTGCCAAGAGCCACCTCCTGGTCTTCCATGCAAGCATCACAAAGACAACTAGCATACATATACTACTCTACTCGACTAATCAACAAACAGTGTGCCAGGAGCCACCTCCTAGTCTTTCATACATAATAGCATACAGTGTGCCAGAAGCCACCTCTGTCTTTCATACATGTTGCCTAAGGCTAACCCCTGGGTCTTCCTAACATACATAATAACATACTGTGTGCCAGGAGCCGCCTCCTGGTCTTTCATGCACACTCCCTAGGGCTAACCCCCATGTCTTCCTATCATACATAAACTAAATGGGCCGACATTGGTGCCTTAGACCCATACAAACAGTGAGGAGACTCACCTCACACTGCTGAAGTCCCGCGGATAAAGCTGTGCCTTCTGGCTGACAGATTCTCGAATATGTCAACATCAAAATAACACCCAATTAATAAGTGGGTTCCAACACATAACCATATGTACATACTTGGGGTAAATACTACTTTACCCCAAGCTTAGCATTATTCAAGCCCAAGGCCCAATCCATAGGCCCAAAAGTCAACTATGAGTCAAAGCACAACATATGGCCCAATTTTCCAAATTGGGCCCAAACCTTTACATGGTCTTATCCTAAGGCCTAACCATTTATTCTAGTCCAACCATTTGACATTCCAATGGCCCAATATTATATAATCATTAAGGCCCAAACTATGGCTCATCTATGGCCCAATTTTCCAAATTGGGCCCAAACCCTCATGCAGGCCTTACCTTAAAGCCCATCTAAATATTATAGTCCATATGATTATTCTTGGATGGCCCATTATTGACCAAATTACCAAAACCCAATAGGAAGGCCCAACTTAAGGCCCAAGCAAGATTAGGATTTTCACATAAAATGACAATTAGGGTTAAGTGTTTCTTACTTAACCCATTAAGGACTTAATCCATTAAGTCCATCACTCTACTAGATGAATCATATGGTGTGCTCGGGTGTGATTAATAATTTAATTCCAATGGCCCAAACGTTGGTCCCGATAAGTCCAAGGCCCATATCTCCAAAATTAGGGTTTTCTAAACCCTAATTAAGGTTTCCAACCCAATCATAGCCCAATAGGCCCAAAACTAAGTCTTTAGATCCATTAGGGTTTTATTAGGCCCATTAAGGTTTTATTGGGCCCATTATGATTTCGCTAGTCGGGCAACACCCACTACCACCTCGGGTAGTGGTGGTCAATGACGGCTCGCGGTGGTGGTTAGGGTTCTAGTCCAATCGAGTCCAAGCACTCCAAAATCAATCCAATCACAAACTAAGCACACCGTCACCTAACACGGTGGCTGGTGGCGGAAGAAGGCGGCAGCCATCACTCTACGGTGGTGGTTTTGAGTTTCTTTTCATTATTCCTTTACCGATTACAATTTTACAATGCAACTCTCAGTTAACACACACACACACACTAAGCTAAACACACACATAACCACCTTGTGGTGGCCGACGGTGGTAAATGGTGGTGGCAGTGGGTTTTCTCACGAATTCCGGCCAAACAACCCCTTACTTATTAAAACACATGCACACATTCACCAAATATCACACACAACCACCACCACATGGCGGCGGGTGGTGGCAGAACGGTTGTATACTGCGGCAACCACCATGGTCGACATCCATGGTGGTTTTCCAAGCTTTCTGACCACGAGCACACACACATGCGACTCCAGGGATTACCGTGACACCTTCTCGTGAACGTACCCGCTGGTGCTCCCTCCTCTCGGTGGTTTGCAATGTAACAACAGAAGAGAATGGCGGCGACGACTGTAGGGTAGTCAACGAGTGAACGGCGACAGTAGCACACACAATTTCGTTTCCTGGCTACGCACGACGTTCGACGACGTAGTAATGGTGGTGTTTCGATGGTAAAACGGCAGGCGACATGGTGGCAACGACTGAGGCTCTAGGATGGAGACTGGAGAAAGAGAAGGAGGAGAATGACGGTCGTCCCTTGCTCGCCTACGGCCGTTCCCTGATCAGAACTGAGTTGGGGTCGGGGAGGCAATGGCGTCGGAGACGAAAGGGGGTATAAGGTGGTGCGGCGTCGGACTTGGTCAAGAGGTGAAGATGGTGGCTGGAACATATTGCTTAGGGTTAGGGTTCCAGAAACATGGTGACGGGTTTATAGTCTCGTATCCATTTCAAACTTCTTTCATTTTTTTCGAGTTCAGCCCATCCTCTGCCAAAACTTTTCAAATCAAATCCAAAACTTACCAAACAGACCCTGCATTAGAAATCTTTCCATACTATGTCCAAAACTTGCCCTTTAGCCCTCAACATTCTAAATTCATTTCAATTTAGGTCCAATGATCAAACTTCAACCATGTTAACATTTGTAGTCCCTCCTCCTCTCATTCATTTCAACTTAAGTTCCAATAATTACCACGGAGCCCCTGTCTTCATAAATATTTACAAACTAAATCCGGATTTTACACTTTTTAACCCCCAATCTCTAAAATTGTGGCAATTAGCTCCTCGAGACCAACACCTTACTATATAATTATGGATTTTAGGGCCACAATTCATATTAATTTTATCTATTTATTTATTTACTAAACGGGGTGTTACAATTTGGGTGTAGATTAATCATGCAAATGAGTAATTTTTGATCCAATATTGGCTAAGTATCAACTTCATTTCATAAATTACACAAATTTGAAGGACGATAAATCGAAGTCATCATAAACACGAGACTAAAATGCATCATTTATTATTATTTCTTTTGAAAACGTGTTATGCGTTTGTAGTTTTATGTTACCTGCTTCAATTCCTATTTATATAGTTCCAACTTGAATACATGTATCTGAATGTTTTTTAATTTACATTTTCTAGACATGGTGGATCATGAAACAATAATTTTTAGCCATTGATAATGGAAGATTTGGTTTTTGTTTCACTTAGCAATAAAAGCATGTTGTTTTTACATGTTACAGGTAAATATAATTGATACTCCAGGTCACATAGACTTCACAATTAAAGTTGAGAGAGCTCTGCATGTTCTTGATGGTGCAATTCTTGTCCTCTGTAGTATTGGTGGTGTCCAAAGTTAGTCAATTACTGTTGATTTTATAGTAATTAAAATACGAGATCAATTATTAGTAGTTTTTACTTTTTTAGGATTTGATTTTA